CCTCCGAAGTAGTTCCTCGTCTGCTTTGGCTGGCTCGCCAGAAAAGGACGTCGAAATCGCACGTCCGCTCGAAAAAAGTTATTCCCACCTACGAGTAAAATCCACGCTACGTGACTTTCCGCATGGACAGCGACAGACGAACCGTTTTCCAACACTTTAACAACGTCTTTACCGGTTCTCGACCGCACCGTTTCCTTCATTTCTTCCCTTCTCCCAGATATCGTGACGCGTAGTTGCGTCGGTCGTGGCCATTACGTGACGACCAATTAACGTAAACGGAGTTCATGCCTTTGTGCATCTAATACTGTAATAATTATTATCGAGAACAATTGGCCAATTTCAGAACTATGCTTTCATTTACAAACTTGTTTTGTTGCTGTATTCATTGTACGTTTATCTAAATTGATAATGAATGAGGAGAGAAAGAAATTGGTACTGCAAAGTTCCTCCAAGAGATATTTTGTCGTGATGCTATTTATAGTTTCAAATTGTTGAGATTGTATAATAAGTTTTTCTTGTGAAATATCTTGGAAAAATTTGAGAACGGTGATTAGTTTATTATAGTTTCATTATTTTACTTTTATACATAAACATTAAGCGTGTTCATACTGCTTGTATATTTAATTTGACTCTAATTTTGTGGAAACGAGCATTCCATGGCCTTTTCATATAACTTTCCTGTTGGCACATTCAGTATTGAAAAGTTCACTGATAAATACATGTGGAAATTCATTAAACTCTCAAACTGCAGAATTATTTTGCACAAAATTGTTATTAATTTGAATAATTCGATGTTAATTTGATTGCTGTGCAAGACTATATTATGCGTTTCATTGTGAGAACACATACTACTGTTTATTGAGTACAAGAAACAGCTATTGACCCAACATGATGAAGTTTCTAATGTTATTAAATCGAGCAGCAGGTTTATTCGCGTCTGTTTAATAGTTTTCATTAGAGTAATATTTAAAATTGGAAAGTTGGGGTAAAAACTAGATAAATATTCCAATAATCCTGTATATAAAGTCATATTAAATTATACCAATTTTTGCCAAGTTGTGAACAAAATATATGCATACACTGAAAATCTATTTTCGGAAGCTAATGACAGTCGTTTCTTACTAAGTACTATAATCGCTTAGCGAGAAATATACATCAGTTCTTTCAGTCAACCTATCTGATGAAAATTCATATTATGATATACTCTTCACGTTCTTTCTTTCTTCAGGATTGCTTTCTGATTCAAGCTGACTCGAAACAGGAAGGGGTACCCGATCGATACATGCTCGTTCAAACTTTCCTGCGTCACGTCAGACATTAGGATAAGCTTCTTTTCGAATCGTGGAGCGAATTGGCTGTAGTGTCGGTTGAGGTCTCGAGGAATACAGATCATAAAAGTTCGTACAGTATAAGAAATCAATTCATCGACGGCCGATGTGGCCCTCGATTCTGCTGCCTCGATGTACCAGTGTCGATCGGTTTAACAAATGAAGGCAAGAAAGAGTGAAATTGAAAGATAGTCCAGAAGGACGGACAGAAAGAGAAAGAGGAGCAAAGAAATGGCAAGAATTCTCGTGGCGTGTTCCTGCGTTTTACAGGCGGAACCAGTCGACGGCCGCGGGTCAACGAAACTCGTTTTTCATTAATTGAAAGTAAACTTTGAGGAGGGGCAGCCGTCCGACGGTTCTGAGGATCTTTTAGCAAAGTCATTGAAACTGAGTTCGAAAACTTTGACGTCCGTAGTAGTTGCTGCCAATTTATTGGCATACGAAACGTAAGTGCCTTCGGCTGTGACGTTCTATCTACCACCATCGCTGTGTACGATGTTCAAAATATACCCTGTTACTGAAAGTGTACACGATAATTTGTACATCGTGTCTTTTTCTTCTTTTTCTTTTTCGAATGTTATTTTTATTCGTCATTTATATATATAATAGTTTAAATAACTAAATCCTTTACATTACTTGACAAAGGTTTGAGGTTACGATTTGTCTATATAATAGATAGCATGCTTGAGGTTACTTTCATCGTGTATACTAGTATTCTGTGAACGTTGTTAAAATAATTTGTAGAGTAAAAATATGTGATCTGCTCTAAAAATGATAAGGCTATTTCCTTGGCAATGTAGATTGACGAAATAACTATTTATTGTTAGGAAAATTGTTTCAGAATTATTATATTGACATAAAATATGATGGTATTTAACTTTATTGGTTTATGGAACCCACTGAGGATTTCAAAATGTACCGGATAGTTAATGGGAAAGTATAAATCCTATGAAAAATGAGAATAATTTATTTGTCACTTCATGATGTTTTACCTACGAAAATTTTCAGGCAAATATTCATATCGCTATGTTTTATTTCAGTTTTTGTTAATATTTAATTGTTTTAGTTTAATTGTTTATTTAACGATATTTCCAACATTATTTTAGTGTAATTACGTCGAAGCAATGATGAAATTTCTTTCTTCCTTAGTCACAGTTAATGCACACGTAATTTTACATTAATGCATTATTTCCTCGCGGAATATTTAGGCATTTAATCGATACTCGAAATTTAACGGTAGTTAAACTCGCTGGATTGGTCTTCTCATGCGTATTCATAAGATATTACGGGATTCAATATTCATAAGCTATGTGATACTTTAAGCGACACGGACTCGAATCAGACTAGTATCCATAAGAAAATAAAACTGCACAGAATATTCGTCTTTTGATTTAACTGCCAAGTCCACTATTTTAAATAGAATTGTCTTTACTCTTCATATCTAGGAGTAATCAGACGAAATTCGTTGATAAATTATTAAATGTTTATTTCCAATTGTTTTTTAAATATCAATCATTCAAACGGAAATTAAATGAAGAAATTATAAACATTTGAGCATGTAATTTTTCTAACTGGATATTGTAATTTACCGAAATTGATAAATGTGTAAATATATAAATTATATTATTCCCTTGTTTTTTAAGAAAATCTAATTATATAGCTTACTTGTGTTAATAAAAAGAAAAGAATGGACCAGTTAATTTAAGTAATATTTCGATATTTTACCCATTATGTTTTAACGAGGAAAATTTTGTTTTAGTTATATTTCAGTTTTGTCCGTTATTTATTTTTTAGTTATTTTATAGTTAGTTATTTTTCATTTTCTGTCTCATCTTTTTCAATTAATTTGTAATTGATATTATTGTAGCTTTGTTATTTTTGTGGTATTATTTTAGACCTACTAAATTATGAATTCTTCATATAAGACTCTTGAACTAAAGTGAAAGCAACTACTCAGAAAGAAGTTCATAGTTATGCCAACTATTGTTGACGTCTTTGTAAGTTTCTCCCGAATTGGTTTGTGTGAAGAGGACTTCCATATCAATTTTAGCTTTGCACACAGATATATAAATCTTTAGGTTCGGTATACATAACTAGTTTAGTGCTCGATATGTACAAAGTAATTAGTAATTCTGAAGGAAACAATTCTCCAGTGATAATTGCATTTTAGATTTTCTGTAGTTTAAAATTATCCACAAATTAGCGCCATCGTTTTTATTTGTGCAACTCGGGTTCGTTTTCTGCTTCTCCATATTTAGAATTTATACAAATAACGAAAGGTAATTCTGTGAAAACTAATAAGTTCGGAAACAATATGAAACGAGAATATTGTTCTACAGGTAACAATTCCTCGTTGTTTAAAGCATTCTATTCTTGTAAAACGGTTTTATCTTGTTAGAAATTGTAATAGCAAGTCACTGAAAATAACTAGTTTACTCGAATGGTTTATAACCTGTGAACACGAAACAAACAGACCTGTTTAAATTTCCCCCATTTTATTTCGACTGACAATTTATATCTCTTCGATTGTAAAGTAATTTTCAATTTTCTGATTACTTGGAACCATTTTCTTAGTCTTTTTCTTTTAATCTCGTTGCTTTACTCGATAAATACCTTAATAGAAATTTTTCCATATAGATTGAAAGAAAGGAAATCAATAAACAAAAATGAGAGAAGAAATATCAAAATATTAGTAAAAGTAAAACTACGTAAGGATCTCTGTCATAAGTGGAAATCACTATCGTTGAAAGCGTAATTTTGAAATCCATTTTGGCCAGTTAAAGGGGACCAAGTAACGTGAAGTAATTCGTTCATGGATAAAGGGGATCACCGAACATTGGCAATTTAGTGGATTCACCAGAGAATCTCTCCACCTCGAATGTGCACCGTTGACGAGGTTTTAATTACGCTAATTACTGGAACGAAGCGGTACAACAGGCAACCAGCCGGGTGTATCGTCGTGGGAAATACCTGAGGTACGCGGGCCGCGTTAAAATAGATATTTACTGACCTGGATTTCGCAATTCCTCGACCTCGTAGTCGATAGGTCGTTGTAATTTCTTGTTACCGTTTCTACCTAAAATGCATTACACAAAGGCGGTTTTACATGGCGTGTTTTACGACGGAACGTCATGACGTGGAGGTTGACACTTGGGTGGGGGAGAATGGATGTCCTTGCTTCAGGGGAAAAAACCAAGGAGGGTGGACAGATGCAGTATCGTTACGAGGGTTGACCTCCTCGTTTTATTTGCAAATTAATGCCGGGTATTCTGCCTGATTCCTCGCTTTTTCCACGGATATCTCGACAATACCGATTCGTTTGGTCGTATAACCCGCGCCATGGTATTTACGTGTTTACACGTTACAGATTGAGATCGATTTAGATGGAGAGGAATGAAGCTGAATATCCGGTAAATTTTGGGTCAGTTACCATTTTTCTTCATCGACGAAGTCACGTGGTAGGGTGGCATGGTGGTGGACGTTGTTGATGGCGCTGGGATCTCTGTAGACAGAAATAAATTGTATCTGAATTCGTGGTGTCGTTTCTTTCTACGTTTATTGTGTCGTAGGTTAGAGAATGTGTTAATCCAAGCATTTTTTGCTTTTCATTTTTCAAATAATATTTATTCTCCCCCCTCTCTCTCTTTTTGCGCTCTTTTCACGAATAGGAGCAATTCTGTTTGTTTAACAAGTATTATTATCTTATTTACACTGCTTGTTTCAAATGAAATTTGTAATGACAGTTTTATTTTACATATTAGTCATATTTTAGAAAATGTTATTAACGAAATGTTATTCAGTCGATAGATTTCTCCGCAGATAGTCATAAATTAGTTCTTCACTCTCGAATGTCTTTATGTATTAAAGGACTTTCTTAAGTCCATAGTCGCTCGATGCAGCGGAATGAATTTAACTTCTATACGAAATATCAAATATATAAGTGAACTCGAAAAATTCGAGAGTGAACTTCTGTCGTGTTCGTTTCATAGCGATCGACCGTACGATATATCTTGTCAAACTTTTAATTTCAGCCAATTTATTCGTCCAAGGAGGTGGAAGGTATACTCTCCCGGGATAAATATATCCTTCGTAAATTTAATCGCCAATTACGAACCACGTTAAAGCGATAAGAACGCTTGACCTCGTCAAACGATCGATAGCTATCGACTGTTAACGATGAGAGTTTTTGCGTAAAAAGTCCATTGCGAATTAATCAATTACTTTATTACCAGGAGATAACGCTATTTTATTTCCAAATATTTTAATTCGGACATTACATACATGAAACGAAAAGGATTTCTTTATATAAACAGGATTCCGAAATGGAATTTAAGTGGATATTATACGTTCGTGTTGTTGAGTTATTGCAAATTATTAAATAGAAAAATATAATAAATGTTTAATATCTTGTATCAGCTACGGTTTTAAAGGTACCTTAAATTATGTTCTCTTTTTGTTCAGTATTGAGTAGCTTCATTTCATGAAATAGTGAAAACTGTCTTCATTAACAATTCCTTGAGCATAATTTCGTTAAACAAAATTTAGAATGGATGAAAAAGTCTGCAGAAAATCTAAAAATCTGACTCATGAAATTATTTACAATATAAATCAGGAAATAAAATGTGGATCTGGAAGGACATTTCTTTTTCCGATTATTCAATTTTCATAGTTTATTCTTTATTATAGTCTCATTCCATATTAATAATAATACGCATAATATAGTAAACATGTACGTATAGTAAGTGGTACTAACTGTATGGGGCTTTCAATAATGTCGTGATTTTACTAATAAGAAATATGCCTCAACTTTAAATATCTCGAGGAAGAATTTTGGCAGATAGACTTTTCTTTTGAAGAATCCGTCAAATACAGTAGTAAGATTATTAATTTCAATTGATTGACTAATAAGAAATTAACTGTTAAATTATATAGTATAAACTCACCATCCAATTTGATGTCACCGTCAGTTTCACCAAGAGAATTTTGTGCTACGCATTTGTAGGATCCAAAGTCTTTGGGTCCGACGTTCCTAATCTTCAGCATCATGTACCTGTTGTATCCGTTGTCGGTAGACACCGCTTCGTATTTATTGCCTGCAATAGAATGGTAATTGCCTGGGCAAATAAAACCATGTTGAATGGTTTTAATTTAATTTAATTTAATTTAATATATGCATAAAGTTTTTCATATTTCGGAGGAACATTTGCACAAATGAGCGTACATGTTTGGACAACTTTTGAGAAGGTGGAAGAGATTGTAATTTTTTGCTTGGAATATTTAATTTGGAAAATGACGAAGCTTTTAGTTGAATCAAGCCTTTATTCCTCGTATTTTATGTATTACTCTTTTTGTGAAGCTGTACGTTTGAAAGAATTAAAACTTTTAGTATCCATTTTATTTAAGAGTATTTTGCTTATTTCTTTTTATGTGAAGGAAATAAACATTGAACTGGGAAGAAATATATTAGTATACCACTATGTGAAGAAAGATTCTATCGATGATACTAAAAGCAAATTAAAACGTTGAATGAATAATTCATTCTTTATTTTAAAAGCTAGCGTATAGTATACTTTAATCCTCATTTATGAAAGGACGTTGACACTCATAAGCACTAATGATGTTCATTCAAGAACGTGATTTGTTCGCGTCCTCTTTTCGTGTTTCGGATCGCAAAGTTTGAGTAGAGACAATTGTATCAAAGCTAAAATTACCGGAGACGATCACACCGCCGTGTTTGGTCTTCCAATAATTAATAGAGGTAGGAAAAGCTTCGGTATGACACTCCAACGTGACATCCTGTCCAATATATGCCGCTTCCAGCTGGTTTGGTATCGAGAGCATAGGAGGAACTGTAATAATAAAAACACGCACTTAATATCATTAATTTCATTGTTATTTCACTCTTATTTTCGTTGATAGAGTATCATTGACAGAAAGCAAAAGTTTAAAATGCTATGAAGTTTGCAATTTACAAATTCAGTATATATTACATATAGAGATATTATATTGCAATTTCGATAATAAGATAGGATGCAATCGGAA